ACGCGTACCAAAAATTTGGGAGCATCTTCTAGCCATATTTTAGGTTATTTATAAGTTATAACTTTATATTAAACGTACATTAAGAGATGTTTTGGTATTGTAATTGCGACCCGACATACAAGTGTTTCGTGATACGAGTCGCCAAAAGTGCGATTCGTTGCCTCGACATACGAGCAAAATTCGAGAAACGAACTTTGAGAGATCTTACATGCTAGTGTTTTGAGATTCAAGGAGATAATAGACGCAGGGAAATGGATTAATTTGTATAAAATAGTTTTAAAGTTTATTTATAATTCGTTTTTTAATCCATTTTCCATATTTGTTTAAAAGGATGCTTCCAAATTTCTTGTACGTTTTGTTTCCTAATCAAGGCAGGGAGGGTACAGTTTGTAAAAATTATTGTAGTTACAAATTTTCTATATATTTTTATTTTAATCCAAATACCTGTACCAAAAAATTTGGGAGCATCTTCTAGCCGTATTTCATGTTATTTATAAGTTATAATTTTAAAATAATTGTACGTTGAGAGATTTTTGAGTAGGGCAAGTTGTAGTAATCGCAAAAAAATCTAAAATGAAATTTTGTATATGTCTTTACGTTTCAAAAGTTTTGAACCTTAGAAAAAATACCTTAAATACCTTAGAAAAAATTGATGTATGTGTGGGCGTGTATGCGCGGATACAAATTTTCGTTCACGATTTCGGGAACACGGATCATCTGATTTGAATAATTCAAAAAACATTCGATTCGTATTGACAAGGGACGTGCTTATTTGTTTTTGGCGAAGGCAGGTCTAGCCGTTCAGAAGATACGGGGCAAAAATTTTACTAATTCAAAAAACTTGTATTGACAAGATAAAAAACTGATTAAATTTTTCGAAAGGCAGGTCTAGCGGTTATGGGCTTTCAATAAAAACAAGTTAAAAAATGTCATAGGGGGGTCAAAAATGTTTATTGGACATATGTACATCAAATTATCAGATATTTATTACAGATTTCAATAATGTGTACACGTTTTGTGTAAATTTTTTTGGGTTCCGTACCAAGAGTTTTAAGGCATGATGCCATGCCTTCACCCCACTCCATTAGATTGCGACCCGACGTTGCTTCGATATACGAGCAAAATTCGAGAAACAAAATTTGAAAGATCCGACATACGAGTGTTTCGAGATTCGAGTCGCCAAAAGAGCGATTTGTTGCTTCGACATACGAGCAAAATTCGATATAATTCTAGTTTTGAGCGAGTAAGAGTTTTTTTTTAGAAAATGTTAATTGCAAAATGAAAATATGAACAATTTTATCGGTTGTTACAATGATTTTTTCACCCTAGAAATATTTTGGCTGTCGTGTGGTAGTAAATTATTTTATAGTTAGTCATTTTAATTTTCTATTATTAATAATGGGGTAGTAACGTTTTAATCACATGAATTTGTCTAGTGATTGTGACGCGTTTTTTTTTTTGGTTTTTTGTACATTTAAAAAATATTAAGAACTTTTATAACCATAGTCTAAAGAAAAGGGCCATGTCTCTTAAATTCAAGTTTGAAATTATTGAAAAATATGTGGATGACCCAGATGTACATCATAGATATATATTGTGCTTGATAAGGGTATAAACTCCACAATATCATGAATAGACAAAAAAAATAAAGATCAAATTAATAAATGGTAAATTTTTTAATATTCCGGTACGAAATAATGGTATTTTAATGTATATATATGGAAAAAATTGCTTTGAGATACGAGCGATTTAAGATATGAGCATGGTTACGGAACGAATTAATCTCGTATGTCGAGGTACTACTGTATTTTTGAGTGCCCGTTGATGAATAATTAAACATTTTTACTGTATTTTATTTCTATTAAAGATTTGTATAATTCCAAATTACAACTTTTTTCTGATTTGTTTCGATTTTTCACCCAGGTTTTAAGCGAGGAACGAGTCACTGGTAATGTAACAACTGAATTAAGGACTGAAGGATCTGGCGACACACAGGGCCGAATTTCATATGAGAACAGGGGCGAATGCTTTTTCTTGCCTTATACCAAGGACGATGTTGAGGGCAATGTCACTCTACGAAGTGGAGACAAGGTTTCGTTTCAGATCGCAACAAATCAACGGTATGTAAATCATAATATCACTTTTAGAATAAATCTTTATCATTTATATATATATAATACTTTTTATATTATATTTGATCAACAATTTTTTGATAAGAGCCTGAAATATTTATTTTATTGGTTACGGATTTATTATCAGTATGAACATAAATATGTTTGAGAGCAATAGATATTTGCAATATTTATTTTGAATTCCGTCTTGCACAGATGTTAAATTGGTGATAAAGAATTCTACAATAATTAAGGATAAATAATTAAGGACAAAAAGTTCTTACATTTTGAAGATGACTATTGATTTATGGGCTGATTCAGGCTCACAACACACAAATGTTATGGCAAGGCCATGTTATGCTCCAACTTGCATACATTATGCTATTGAATCATATATTGAATGCTGTCAAAAAGTCATGTAATTGCTGTGCATTCAGGCGCTTTACATATAAATTGCAACGTCACTTGTATGTTATGAAGCTGAGTCAGAAACACCTTGTTATCTAAGATCGTTTTAGTGACATTTGTGCGGTTTCTAAGTTAGATTTTCTATCTGACAACCTGAGAAAAACGCCTGACTGCTCAGCAACCACATGGCTTTTGACAATATTTAGAACGAATTAGTATGGAAAGTTTTTCATAACATAGCCTTGCCATAACATTGGTTTGTTATGCGGCAAAATCGGTCTACATTTAGTCATCTATATTTTTTCTTTTAATTTTTTCAATATTTACTATTATCTTTTACAGTGGTAATTGGGTGCTTGCCATGTCCGGTTAGAGAACCCGGCTCATCCAGTTTTGTACAGGGGTGTTGTGTGTTCTATGAAAGAGTCATTTGGTTTTATTGAACGAGCAGATGTAGTCAAAGAAATATTTTTCCACTTTTCTGAAGCCAAAACATCAGAAGAACTTAGGCCTGGAGATGATGTGGAATTTATCATTTTAACAAGAAATGTAAGTTTAAAAATAAACATAGCTGGGAGATAAGAAATATGTAGTTTATATTTGTTATTTCTGTTTTAGGGTAAAGAAGTTGCATGCAATATTGTTCGGCTACCACCAGGAACAGTTGTGTTTGAAGATGTAGATCCAGATATCACAAAGGGCCAAGTTTTAAAACCGTTAGATCGGGGCACAGGGCAGAGACATCAGAGTGATCCCCTACCAGGCAGGATCAGATATAGGGCTCCTGATCATTCTGAAGTAGAGGTAATTGTTCTATATCATATACACAGCAGTGCATTTTTTTTAAAAAAGATTAACATTTTTGAAAAAAAATTACTTTGAAAAAATCAGATTTTTGAGAAACTATAAATTTTTGAAAAAAAGACTTCTTGAAAAAAATATTTTCTTTATTTTGAAATATTTTGGAAGTTCTGAACTTTTCTTCAAACCAATCGTACTGCTTTAACTGCATACAGACGAAATATCGAAGCGCGTAAGCGCCGCGACGCCGTCTAACGAATAAACATTGGTACGGAACCCATAGGAATGTAAGCAAAATTTATACTTATTGTTAAAATCTCTATAAAATATCTGATAATTTTATGTGCACATATCTAAGGATCATTTTTGACCGCCAAATGGCATTTTTTTTACTTTTTTCACTAGATCTCCGGAACCACTAGACCCGCCTTCATGGAAATTTAATCAGTTTTCATCTTGTCAATACAAGTAAAATGTTTTTTGAATTATTAAAATCGGTTGAAACGTGTTCCCGAAATCGTCAACACACACACACACATATACATTCATTTTTTCTAAGGTATGCCAAAATGTTCAAAAACCTCTGAAACGTAAAGATATATAAAAAATTTCATTTTCGATTTGTTTGCGATTACTATTACTTACCCTACGGAAAGTTAAAAAATAATGCTATATGGGAGTCAAAAATGAACATTAGACATACGAGGTCTGTTCAAAAAGTACCCGGAATTTTCGTTTTTTCATAAAAATATTTATTTATTCGTCTACATTAATGTGGTCCCCTTCAAAGTAGTCCCCCCCAGATATAATACACTTATGCCAGCGTTTTTTCCAATTTTCGAAGCACCCTTGATATTCACTTTTTGATATGTCCTTGAGCACTCTCAGCGATTTTCTTCAATCGAGGAAAACCGTAGTCCTTTCATGGGTCTCTTCAACTTTGGGACTAGGAAAAAGTCACACGGAGCCATATCTGGTGAATTTTTGCACTTTGCAACACTTTATTTCATTTTTTACGCAAAATTTAATACAAATTCTTTGACTTTTCAATTCTTCCATTGTAAAAATCGCCGAGCTCAGAAAAACACGTCGAACCTTAGCGACTACCACAGACAAAGTAAACAGTGAATATAGCTGAAAATTTCATCATACTTTAGGGGCATGTATACCAACACAATAAAAAAAAAATTTTGACAATCAGACACTCCAGACCCGCGAAATTTAATTATTAGTAATTCCGTGTACTTTTTGAACAGACCTCGTATGTACATCGTATTATCACGAATTTTATAAAAATTATAATAATAAGTACCAATTTTGTGTACATATATATGGATTCCGTACTAATGTTCACACGCTAGACGACCACGCGGCGTTTACGCGCTTTGTCATTTCGACTTCAAATCAGCCATGCAGCGGGATTGCTCAAAAAAACGTTGAAATTGATATTAAAAAAATCAAAATACAAAAACAACAAAATATAAAATCATTTTTTTCAAAAAGTCAAATTTTTTAAAAAAATTCAAAATTTCTCAAAAATCTAATTTTTTCATGTTTTTGCAAAGTTTTTTTTTAATAATTTAGTTTTGGGTATGGTGAGTTCCAGCAATTTGCCTTAAGGCACGATGCCATTCACCACTAGTATTACAATGCATTTGATTTGATTCATTTTTTTTCCAGGTACCATTTGGTGACAAAGATCAAAAAGGCGATTTCACTCTTCGTCATGGTGACTGGGTCCAATTCCAACTGGCGACAGATCGACGTGATCAACTACGCAGAGCCACTTCCATTTCACTCCTGGACGAGTCCTTTGTTGTGTCCGGCGAACGTAGAGATCAGGGCGTGGTAGTGGCTTTGAAGGATGGTTTTGGCTTTCTTCGTTGTGCAGAAAGGGAGCCAAGACTGTTCTTCCACTTTACCGAGGTTTTGGATGTGACGAGAGAGATCTCCATGGGAGACGAAGTGGAATTCACAGCAGTACAAGATCCTAATAGCTCTTTTGCTAATTTTAGACACAGCGCTATAAGGATTAAGCATTTACCTCCGGGTAAGTGAAATTTATTATATGAATAATAATGGCATAAAATATATAATTAACTAGATTGACCCGACAGACGTTGTTTCTGTATCCATGTCTACAATTTTTTAATATAATATAATAATATTTACCACTTACCTAAAAATAATAATTATTGTTTTTTAAATTACTCTTCACGCCAAAATGCATATACATTTATAATATAGCGATGTTAAATGTAGAACTGCTTTAAATAAAATGATGAATCTCAATTCCCACATTATATTAGAAATTGAAATTTTTTAAACAGTATAACATAACCAGAACCATAACATACCACTGATATTTCATGCCGGACTAAATTAATTTAATTTTTTTTTATTTAATATATCCAAAATTGCATCTTAAACTTCTCCTAATCGATATCGTGAGGGCCGAATTGTATGTATTCATCTTACTTTCCCATTTATTGTTATAAAGTGAATTTTTTACGAATTTTAAAAATATTGTCGAAAGATTAGTAAAAGTTGCAAAGAAATTATATATCGAAAAAAAAACTATATTGAAAATTAATATCGGAATCTTGTGTTGGCGCCCCCTAAGACGTGCGCTCGTATTTTTCGCATGCATCGCATTAAAGGTAGGACCGGCCCTGATTAATACTTAATTTCATATTTTAAGTGAATAATTTGTCATATCTGTTCATATGTGTATCATTCAATCTGCCATACATATACTGTATTTTATATTATTTTAATTTCTGGCACATCTCAGCTGCTTTTTGGCAATAATAATGTAGACATTTCATTTTTCTTATTCATATGCGCAACTTATTAATAATCGTAAATTTATGTACATATTCTAATATTGTCTAGGTTCATAAGTAATTTGAAATTTTGGCAGATGATAGTTTTCATTTGTTTTCAATTCAAACATTGACATGTGAATTTTTTTTTGCCATTTATTTCTACAATATTGCACATACATCCCAGTACTTTATAATCACATACATCCTGGAAAATTTCCTTATCAAACCTCAGAAAGATTTATCAAAATCCGAATAATCGTTTAGAAGGAGTATACAGTGAGTGCTTGTAATTTATATGAACTTTATATAATAGCAATAAAGCTCAAATTGATTCTACGTTTAGTTCGAAAACGTTGTATGAAAAAAAAAAAGAGCTGTTTTTAGGGTTTTCCGGCAATTATTCGATTTTCTCTCGCCGTAAGAACCATCCTTGGATATCAACGAAACATTTAAAAAAAGAATTGGCCAAATTGGTCCAGGCGTTGTTGAGTTATGCGCTTACCAACACATTTGCATTCATTTTTATATATAAGAAGATATAAGATTAATATAATTATTACCATGAATATGATTTTTCAGGTACTGTAAAATTCGAAACCCTAATCGAATCAAATCTAACGGGAGTCGTGACTAGGGAAGCCTCTCCAAGAAGCCCTAGCAAATCTCAAAACGGCGGTCCAACACAAAACGGCGGGCCTCCTGTTCCAGAAGGGGGCATGATTTCTTACCAAAGCAATGGTCAAAAGAAATCAGTTCCTTTCTTTGCAAAAGATTGTGATCGGCAACCTAGAATGGGTGATAAAGTTGATTTCAACATTAGTCAGGTAAGGAATTTTTAGTAAGACAAATGTATGATACCATTTTTCTGTGATGTTACTTATTGGGTAATTTGCGTCAGAATTATCAGTGATGACAATTTATACAGACTGAGCATGATGATTGTTTGATTGATATATATTTATTTGAATAGCTTCTAATATGCATAATTTTTTCTTCCCCAGGTTAAGCGTAATAAAGAACTGATAGCAACAGATGTTGTAGTAACTGCCATTAGTAACCAGTCATCAAACCACAGCTTTAACGGTTCAACTGTCTCGTCAAGCAGCAGTAGTTCAACTTCACAATCAAGCACCTCATTGCGCAATGGTGTCTCTAAAAATGGACGTCAGTCTTTGAGCAACGGCCAGTTGTGCCAAGGATTTGTAGCAGCTTGAAGGATGGTTTCGGTTTTATCGAGACCATTTCGCATGATAAAGAAGTGTTTTTCCATTTCAGGTACTTCGAAAAATATAATTGCAACTGTGTTTAAAACATAATGATTTTTTACTAATATTTTTGTGTCTTTTCAGCAATTTTGAAGGCGACACATCAAACCTAGATTTAGGTCAAGAAGTAGAATACATATTAGCTCCTCGTGGTTCCAATGGAGGTAGCGGTTCTGGTAGTTGCTGTTCTGCAGAAAATGTTAGAACTATTGCTCGTGGATCAATACCACTGCCAGAAGGCACCGGTCCTTTGCTGAATGGTACTGTTACCAGGCCTTTGAGATCTGTTAACCCAGACCAGAATGAATATTCTGGTTTGATACAGGTAATGATGATATCTTCTATATATATAAAAATAAGTCGGGTTTTCCTTCCTGAGGAAATAACTCCAAAACGCCCGAACCGATTTCGACAATTTTGCATTCGTTGGGAAGGTCTCGGACTCCGCAAGGTTTATAGCTAAGAAAATTAGTGGTGCATGGCATCGTGCCCTAATGCAAATTGCTGGAACTTCACGCACCGTAATTAAAAATTCGAGTACTAAAAATAATCAATAATTGTTTTAAATAATTTCCAATAGTTTATCTTCTATATGTATAAAAATAAGTCGGGTTTTCCTTCCTGACGAAAGAACTCCATAACGCACGAACCGATTTCGACAATTTTGCATTTGTTGGAAAGGTCTCGGGCTCCGCAAGGTTTATAGCTAAGAAAATTAGTTGTGCATGGCATCGTGCCTTAATGCAAGCTGTAGGAACTTCGCGCACCGTAATTAAAAATTCGAGTAATGACATTAGTGAGAATTATCAGAATTATGCTTGGTTAAGTCAACGAGCAATTCTTGCCGCAAAGAATAATGATGTACACGCACTGAATTTCACCATTCAATCAAAAATTGCTGGCGATTTGGTGACATACCAATGATTCTGACTGGTCTTCCGTTTGATTTCAAACGATTGCAATTTCCAGTTCGCCTTGCGTTCGCAATAACAAGTCGCAAGGCCAATCGCTTAGTGTTTGCGGGATAAATTTCAAATGGATTATTTAGAAAATCGTTGTTTTTCACATGGGCAGTTACACGTTGCCTGCTCACGAGTTGGAAAACCATCCGCTTTGTTTGTGTTAAGGTCAGACCAAAAAACAAAAATTGTGGTTTACCAAAGAGCACTTCAATGAAACGGATAATTTGCGGATTCACTTTCATTTACTTAGAGAAGTTCAACTAAAAAGCACTTCATTTTTGTAATCGAAATAAATTCATTACTGTTGTATAATAAAATCAATTTTTTCCTTTTCAAATATAAAACAAACAAAAAATTTCAAAAAAATTTTTCATCTTTCTCACGAAACCATCTGGTGGCGAAACGGAGTTCGTCGGATTTGCTAGTTATTAATAAAATTGGATATATATATTTTTTTAAATAAAGTATTTGTCATTAAAATTGTTGTTTGATATTTCTTCAGGTGGTATCAGAGAATGGAGACAAGGAAAGCTATGAATTTGGAATAACTGGTCTAAGTAATAAACGCGATCTGCTACAAAACGGCGATCCAGTCACTTTAAGAGTTGACACAGAAGGCAGAGCTACCGAAGTAACAGCTCTGAGAAAGAAGCGAAGGGCTACTGTTGATGCCATCAAAGGTAGCGTAAAACTCTACCAACCTCTATTAGATTTATTATGAACTTAAAGTTCATTTTTTTACATGTTTCTTTTAATTTTGTAGGACTTTTTGGATTTTTGGCCTATGAAGTAGAAGAAGGAAAGAAGTTATTCTTTCACATGTCAGAAGTTGAAGATGGTGTTCAATTGCAACAAGGCGATACCGTGGAATTTGCCTTGATCACAAACCAAAGAAGTGGAAAGTCATCTGCGTGCAATGTTGTTAAGGTAAGTGTTTAAGGGGTTACACCACTGTAGATTTTTCTAAAAACCAAAAAATTTTTTAGGCTTAAAATATACTTTGAATCTCTTAGAATATGAGAAAAATATTTCATACCAAAAACTTTCTTTTTTAGTTGGTTTTATTACCATGCGCGTCGGACTGCTCCGAACCGACACCGGTCAAATACATTTAAAAAAAACATTATATAGCAAAATGACAGCATGTATCTTCTTAAATATACTGGCATATGTTTAAACATTTATATTGTACAAATAAACTGTAAAAGCATTTTTAATCAATAGATGGTCCGTGCGGAGTCAACACATATAGGGATTGACTATATTGCGGCTGATATTGCTGGGGATAATTTCAACGACGGCCTAATTAAAATTTTATAAATGATAATAGTTTTAGACATTAATATTAGCATCTAAACATGTAATTTTTGTCTTAAAGTCGATTATAAATGACTTTAGCATGCCGAACGGCTTTTGACGGATGCGCCAAAAGTAGGACGCTCTAATAAATAATCATCAAAGGAAGAAAATAAGAAAAAAATTATAAAAATAATAAGGCATCTGTATGTTGCTGGGATATAAGGAAAAAAAAACTGACAAGTTTTTCATTTTTTCTTATCTATAATTTATTTCAAAATTTAAACGCGTTTTTTTCGAAACACGATTTTTCAACGCGGCACGCAAAATAACTACAGCAATAAGAATTTTTTTCATTCGAATTCTTTTACTGTATATTTAAAATTATATTTTAAAGTGCCCATCATAGCGGATTTTCTACATGTTAATTTATTCATCAATTATTAACAAACTTGTAGCCGTTTTTTCGTTGAAAGTTAACGATTTTGAATAAAATGCTCGCCAAACAAACAGCGTGTATAATTTGACGCGGCTCGCCGAAATGGCTACCGCGTTTGCCTCTGTTTTTAATTTGTTTTACAATTATATTTTATTTTGGTACTTTAAAGTACAATGAATAACTATCTTTAGTATCTATCTTTACTATCTTTAGTATTAAATATTTTCCTTCCGCCCGAATAAAATGGCAAAAATATACGTTTTTTTGGCTGCTACAGTGATGTAACCTCTTACATCAGTATGAATATTTCAATAAATTGTGCGCTCAGTTTGTGTATGTTATTCACTATTTTATAATTGATAGATGGAAAATATAGGGGCAAATGAACCCTGTAGCGGAATTTGAAAGCATTATGCAAAGTATAAACACAGATCAAGATATGTTCAGATCGCTGGAGCTCTTTTTTATTGTAAATATTTGTACATTTTATCGTCGCGTATCAATTGTAGCCTTAATATAATATATTTTTATTATAGACATACCTTTGTTATTTTGAAATTTTATTTATCAAATAATTATTACCGTATGCTATAATTGCTATACATAAAACTTATTAACTTGTCGTAGGGTGAGTTATAGTTATTATCGCAAAAAATCGAAAATATTTTTTTTTATATATCTTTACGTTTCAAAGGTTTCTGAACATTTTGGGATACCTCAGAAAAAATTGATGTTTGTGTGTGTTTTGTGTGTACGCATTTTTTCGTCCACGTTTTCGGGCGCACATGTCAACCGATTTGAATGATTCAAAAAGCATTCGATTCTTCCTGATAGGGAAAAGTGCTGATTAGTTATTGGCAAAGACAGGTGCAGCCGTTTCGGAGATACGGAACAAAGAGTGCAGAAAATAGAAAGAGTTTTTGAGAGAATGGAGTATCCGATTTGAATTATTCAATTTGTAATGATTGGGAGAAGTGGTTAAGGGGCGTCCATTAATCACGTGAGGTTTTTATGAGAGGTAGGGGTATAGTAAGGTATCACGTGTATTTATTTTTTGCCTTATTTTTTTAATGAAAAAATTCAAACATTTTCAAAAAATATCAAAAATTATACAATTTATTCTCGTAACTAAAAATACACGTGATGTAGGTAGGGGCAGGGGGGGGGGTAATTTTGAATATCACCAAGGGGGAGGGGGTCCAAAAATCTTCAAAAAATCGATCACATGATTAATAGACGCCTCCTTGTTAGTTTTTGACAAAGGCTGGTCTAGTCGTTTCGGAGATCAGAGCTAATATTCAAAAATGGCAGTTTTTGAAAGTACTATGCATCCGATTTGAATGATTCAAAAAAATTGTGCTTGTGTTGACGAAACAATTGCTTTTGGGAAAAAATTTCATAATTCTTATATTTTTTTATATATAGAAAATAATTCAGATTTTAATTTGAGATCTGGCTAAAGCTCTAAAGCTCATCTATATACTTTAAATAAATAATTTTAACTGTGCAATTCAGTTTATATAATTCTTATAAATATTATACAATGTTACAGTATTTATATAATCTATTTGAAAACATTCAATATTCCTCGAAGATTTCATTACGGTACGGGAAGTTCCAGCAGTTTGCCTTAAGGCTATATACCACTAGTTATTTTTGTAACAATATACTTTAACAATTTGCTAAATTTAGAAATTAGAGATATATGTACATGTGATATTTTTTTTAAATGCGACCTTATTTTTCTCTCTCCAATTTAAAACTGCTAAATTTATAATCAATTTATTTTAAAAAAATTATCAATTTAAACAACTAGTCTTATAAATATAATAAAGGGGGAACAAAAATTTATGAACACATCAAAAGATATTTAAAGGTAAATACCATGCATAATTAAAAGAAATTTATTATTAAATTTGATACATAGTAGTTAAGATAACGGTGTTTGTTTTTCTGGACGGGAACTAATACCCGCCCCGTTCAAAGTGCGTTATGAACAAATAGGCTCCAATAAACTTAGTTTCCTCGAAAATTTCCTCTGTTTCCTCTGTTTCCTGTGGTTCATCCTGCATCGAAGTTTGGCTTCGCACGGAAAACGAGTTTTATTATTTTGCACTTAATATTTTAATGTGTTAATTTTTTTCAGGTGACAGACATTCAAGCCAGACCCGAACGTTTGATTTCTCGTCTTCGTGTAAGTTCCCTTGAAGAGACTGGACCTCGCCTAACAGTGTCCAGACAACCTAAAGGCCCCGATGGATCTAAAGGATTTCAATCATCTGCACGTCAACCCAGACAACCTGGTGTAATCCCAGAATGATTATCCAGAAGTAGAAAAAAAGAAAAATCTTGAGTTCCTAAAAATGATGTCCAAAAATTAAAAATGGCAAAAGTCTTAAATGAGACTCTTACCAACATCCTTATCTCACAGAAAAAATGAATTAAAAGGCTTTATTTAAGGATTGGGAGGATTGATGAGATAAATATCCGCTCAAAAAATATGACATAAATGGTTTAAACTAATAAGACTAAGTAAAAATATGAAAAAATGAATTTTTTAGAGAAAATGTGATATGCAGCAAAACAGTGATCAGTTATTTTGATTTCTGATGCAAACGCAATTTTGTTTATGTATGGCATCGTAATGGAAAAACCAAAAATTAAATTCGTCGCTGCTTTTTTGGCATACCAGAACAAAAAAAAAACAACAACCAAAATACCGCGTTATTCGTGAATAAATTACATAATGAAAAAAATGTCTTAACACCCAAGAATCTCTTTGTCCGTCATTTTTGGATTGTAGTGTTTTTGTTTCATTTCTCCTTGGTTTTGTTTTGTAAGTCATATCAATGTAAGCAATGTTACTGGGTAATATTTAACAGATTATATAATTTATTCACTTGGACATTTGTGTATTGAGTTTTGCTTTGACAAAAGTCATCTCTAATATTATTTATTAAAAATTTAAGAAAAAAAGTAATACAAAATATACATATTTGTGTAAAATCATAAAGAGGTTACTGCTGTTATAATTAAAAGTTGCAGATAATTTTTGTATTATCTATCATCATCATTGACTTTGTATAATTATTTGATCTCTATTTCGAGGCATAAATGATTTTTGACCAATAAAAATTATCATTTCATATTCGAAATGACTGTTTCATTTTGTGCATCAGCATGGGGTATGAAAAAAATTTA